CAGGAACCCCAGCAGAGCTATTTTTACTCTTGACTATTTAAAAATACCACCCCTTTCAGTTCTAAAATATTCCAGTTAGAAATTATTACTACACTCATATAAAATAAACAGGATTGACGAAGATAAACTATTCATAAAGATAAGAAGGCTGAGGGATTACTTTACATAGGGAAGAGGCTGTGGGTCCAGACACCATAGAGATCGCATCAGCCTTAAAGGGAAGTCAGACTCAAGAGAAGCAGAAAGGGACAAAACATTGTGACAGTTAGGTCCAACACAGTGTACTGTGATTAGAGCACAAGCCAGCAGAGACAAGACCTGTAAAGAGGGCTCCAGGTCAAGCCCCAGGAACCCACACATCTTTGGTTTATCCCATTACTCACATTACTCATTAAACAGCAAGTACTTTCTTATGACCCGTGTTACTGCCTTATTTTAGGACGTGTGGGCCATCTGATAAGAATGGCCTCCCCTCTCTAATGTGCTTCTCCTAAGTAGACCTCCTGCAAGAAGTCTTAGTACCCTTGCCCTCTGGCCTGACATGCATCTGTGGAAACACTCCTTAAAATACCAGCTGTAGGGTGTGTACCCACAAGAATAAGGAGGTTAACTCTCCCCTTTTGAAATGGTGACTCCTACCCTCCCTCAATTCCTCTAAGTGTTTCCTTTTATAGAAAAGCCATGGTTCACTGCTAGTAAAAATTAAAGACCACAGCATAAAGATCAAAGTTCAGGCTAGTGCTACCAATGACAGAACATTAAAATTGCCACTCAAACCTCTCTTGTCTCGAACACTGACAAATGGAAACCAGTCTTTGAAATGCAGGTTCATTTCAGGATTTTTGCACTTGCTTGTGCCCATTCATGATTTTGAATAAAATGAATAAACTGTAGGTGACATGCAGTTGAGTTGAAATAGTGCAAGTAATGATAGACACATCAAAACTGATGTGTTCTTTCTGCCTCCACCCCGTAGGACAACATGGAGCACCAAGAAAATAAAGAGGGGTTACTATAAAAGGTTAAGTTTTAGTTTAGCAGAGAAGGTCTTAATGCTCCCTCCTTCAAGATTTATTTCTAGCCTCTCCAAGCTAATTCCATGAGCTTTTCCCTTCTTATTCCCCTTAGTTCCTGACTGTGCTCTGGCAATCAGTGTCAGACCTCAGGTGCACCTCAGACTGTCCTCTCACTGACTGAATTTTAAACACTCTTATCCTATTTGATACCAGTCAGGGGACCTGGATGCAGTTCCCAATCACATATAGACCTGATGGTTTCAAGTATTTTCTTGATGCTCAAGTTTTACAAATACTGCTGGCACGGTTCAAGAAGATGGGTTTGAACTCCTCCCCCATAAGAATGTACAAAGGGTCAAAAATGTTTCCAAAGCATGTAGAATATTCTCATTAGATATTCTTCCCTGAACAAGAAGGCTGCCAACTGAAATGCGTAGTTACACGTGCAAAAAAGATTAAACAAATGTACACATTAACCATCATATAACCAGATGTTCAGGTGTTCAGATGTTCTACCAAGACAGGTCAATAGATATGAGAACAGGCAGGAGGAAAGAGAGAAATTTAGGTAAGCCTTTCTCTTTCTTTTATTCCTATTTAGTATGTTGGACACTTAGAGGAAGGAAATTAAAACTCGTGAAAAACAGCCATATCTACTTGCTGTGGTGACTCAAAAGTTGTCGTTTCTCGATTCAACTTTGCTGAAATACTTGATTCATGTTGTTCTTATTTAACCTAATTTGCATTGATTTAATCAGTGCTGGTATGCTTTAAATACATAATAAATTGGGATTCTGCAACTTAGACGACTTAGAATAGCTAAATTTCAATAAAGCTCATTTCAATCTGTTAATGTATACATTTGTGCCAAGGGGTTTAAAGCTGTAGAAAAGATGCAACTTGCCACATTAGAGGTGAGAAAGGTTTAAAGATACCATACAGATGAAATGATTTGCAGGATAATAATGTGAAAAGTAATATTACATTATATATATATATATATATATATATATATATATATATATGAATTACAGCCTAGAAGCATCTTCTAAGTTTTGAGTAGCACACTTAGAGGAAAACTCACATATAAATGCAGTGAATTTAATTTTATTCTCCTTCTTTCTTGCCAACACTCAACTCTCTTCTGCCTTTCTGTACCAGCTCTACAAATCAAGTGACATCCAAAGTGGGACCTCTTCTTGCCATTTGGCAGCCTCTATCACCACTTTGCCAAGATGCATGCATTAGGAGGATTTTCTCCCTAGCAGTCATGGAGACTGGGTGGCTGATACAGCGCTTGCTCAGTAGTTGGGGGTTGTTTATCCCTGCCTGCGCCTGCCCAGCCCTCTGCCCCAGCCTTTTTGAGTTTATGGCTCAATCAACAGCTCCTTCATGTCAGGAATAATTGTTTTGGCACAAGATGGATCCACTTGATGGAGATATTGTTTGTCTGTCTGAGTGTTCTGCAGCATCTTAGAAGTGCCAGGACAAAACCTGCAAGTCTCCAGTGCAGAGCTAGGTGGGGGGCTTGAGTGAGGAGAGCCTACCACAATGGAGAGGAATAGCAAAAGACCATCTGTGCCATTCACAAACTGTATGACCTTAGATGATCCCCTGATGTGTCTGGGTCTCTGTTTCATCACATACAGAATGAAGGGGTTGATTTTCTAATGTCTCTTCTCGCTCTTAAGACAGCATGTGATGTCTAGAACATTTCATATTTGTGTTCAATTAAATGATGCATCTCAGAGAGGACTGACCAGGGCAGAGCTCAGATGAATACAAAATGGGAATGATTCATGCCCTGTTCATATGACTTTTCCTGAAAAGTACCATTAGTCTTTGGTGACCTTAATTTCATGGTTAGTCCCTACGGGTTGAGTGTTAGGGATGACTCTAGGGATCTGACCAGTGTGTTCAGTACAGAAGCTCTGCTAATCCCCCTCATTCCTATCAAAGTATGTGCCATGATTGACAGTGGCCCCTTAGATTGAATTCTCTGGAGGAAGAAATGATAGGAATTGAAAGAGAGGAGCCAGAGAGTCACAATCAGTTCTTTCCAGTTCCCTGGGCATCCTTGGCAAGAAAGCAGGCTTGTCCATATTCACATTTTTCAGGCTTACTCAGCCATTTTTGAAGATGATCAACAAACAGATCCCTGACAATGCATCTCAACCATACTAGTCAGAAAGATAGGCAGAGAAAGAGAGACGGAGATAGAGAGAGGAGAGAGACAGACACAGAGAGAGATATGGAGAGAGAGAGAGAGAGAGAGAGAGAGAGAGAGAGAGAGAGAGAGAGATTATTCACTGTAAAGACTCCTATCTATAAATAATTGTGAGGGGAAATAATGAGGCAGAGGCTTCTCCTCATCCTTGGAAGTAGCACAGTTCAGTACAGCTTCAGCTCTCACTGGGTGGGTGGATGGAAAAGAGAAGGCATCACTATGGTTCAAAGCACCCCTTCCCCACACATTCTGCAGCACCTTCTCCTGGGATGATGTGTGGGACAGGACCTGGTGATGAGCCCGCACAGCACATGTCAGGCTTGGCCTCCCCACGTCAGCCAGCAGAATCTTCCCCCATCTGCACGGAGCCCCCAGGCTTCCATGTGAAGCCCCCACGGGATCGCAGGCAAAGCTCCCCGCACACTGACGCTCATCTCTGCCACACTAGATCTCACATCACAGGAACTGGGATGGCTTCCCAAACTGGGTGGGTTTGAAAGTATTCGCCCATCCACCACCAAAAAAGGGCTGGCTCACTGCAGAACTCCAGTGCTTGCAAGGGGAAGGGAAAAAAAAAATTGTAGCCAAGCCCCAAATCATTGCCTTCCTGGGTCTTCTCTCAAGTTGCTTCTGTAAGTAAAGCAAAGGACCAAATGTTGATTTCTCTACAGATTCCTACGTACCTCTTAGACGCAGCCAGCTTTAAAGGAGGAAATTATATATATATATTCCCAAAAGGAAGGGGGAGAGCAGAGAATATTTCAGTTCCCCCCTTGCAACTATCCTGTCATTGATGATGCTAACCCCTACCTCAGCCACCCCCCTTCTCTCTCTCGCTCCCTCTCTCCCTCCTTTTTTCCCCCTGAAATATGGACCAAAAAGCTGCAAGTGTTTTCCATTTCATCAAAGCACACATATTACTTCAGCGCTCGGTGAAATGTTGGTTTTATGCCCACCCCTTTTCAATCTGCCCATGTCTGAGGTGCCGGGGAAGACGCACAATCGTGAGCAGCTTACGACACTCAGTGAGCAGTAGGTGCCGGTACAGCTCGCGCCGCGCACTGCCTGGCGGAGGGAAGCAGCCGGGGCGCCGCTCGCCGCTCCCCACGCCGCCGCCACCCGCCCGCCCGCCCGCGAGGCATGAGCCAGCCCGCTCTGCTCTCCGCGGCTGCCGGGGGCGCGAATGGCAGGCGGTCTCCGCCGAGTGAAAGGTGGCGCCGGTCAGTGGTCATTTCCAATGACGGACATTAACCAGACTGGCAAATCCTGGGGAGTCGCGAGCCCCGAGTTTGGAGTTTTTTTCCCCCACAACGTCACAGTCCGAACTGCAGAGGAAAAGGACGGCGGCAGGAAGGCGAAGCCCGGGCTCCTCCGGCACGTAGTTGGGAAACTTGCGGGTCCTGGAAGTCGTCGTCTCCCCGCCTCGCCCGCCGCCCTTGCAGCCCCGAGCCGATCAGCAAAGTGAGACATTGTGCGCCTGCCAGATCCGCCGGCCGCGGACCCGGGCTGCCTCGGAAACACAGAGGGGTCTTCTCTCGCCCTGCATATAATTAGCCTGCACACAAAGGGAGCAGCTGAATGGAGGTTGTCACTCTCTGGAAAAGGGTGGGTAAGACACTTTTTAATTAAATTCTTTCCCGAAGATTTTTTCCCCTCCCCTCTCTCTGCTGCAGCTTCTAACATGGACCAAATCACCATCTCTTTGATCTTTCCGTGGCTGTGAACTTTCCATGCCGCCCAGCTTTCTGCATGCTTAGAGGTGACCGTGTGGCTTTTGGGGAGGGGGGTTCTTCTTTCTTTCTGTATATTCATTTGATTTTTGCCCTTTTCTCCCCCTCCCCCGCCTCCCCTCCCTCGGAATAAAATATGATGTAGATTTCTGACCGAGCGCTTCCAATGGACATTCTCCAGTCTCTCTGGAAAGATTCTCGCTAATGGATTTCCTGCTGCTCGGTCTCTGTCTATACTGGCTGCTGAGGAGGCCCTCGGGGGTGGTCTTGTGTCTGCTGGGGGCCTGCTTTCAGATGCTGCCCGCCGCCCCCAGCGGGTGCCCGCAGCTGTGCCGGTGCGAGGGGCGGCTGCTGTACTGCGAGGCGCTCAACCTCACCGAGGCGCCCCACAACCTGTCCGGCCTGCTGGGCTTGTCGCTGCGCTACAACAGCCTCTCGGAGCTGCGCGCCGACCAGTTCACGGGGTTAATGCAGCTCACGTGGCTCTATCTGGATCACAATCACATCTGCTCGGTGCAGGGGGACGCCTTTCAGAAACTGCGCCGAGTTAAGGAACTCACGCTGAGTTCCAACCAGATCACCCAACTGGCCAACACCACCTTCCGGCCCATGCCCAACCTGCGAAGCGTGGACCTCTCATACAACAAGCTGCAGGCGCTCGCGCCCGACCTCTTCCACGGGCTGCGGAAGCTCACTACGCTGCACATGCGGGCCAACGCCATCCAATTTGTGCCCGTGCGCATCTTCCAGGACTGCCGCAGCCTCAAGTTTCTCGACATAGGATACAATCAGCTCAAGAGCCTGGCGCGCAACTCTTTCGCCGGCTTGTTCAAGCTCACCGAGCTGCACCTGGAGCACAACGACTTGGTCAAGGTGAACTTCGCCCACTTCCCGCGCCTCATCTCCCTGCACTCGCTCTGCCTGAGGAGGAACAAGGTGGCCATTGTGGTCAGCTCGCTGGACTGGGTTTGGAATCTGGAGAAAATGGACCTGTCGGGCAACGAGATTGAGTACATGGAACCCCATGTGTTTGAGACCGTGCCGCACCTGCAGTCCCTGCAGCTGGACTCCAACCGCCTCACCTACATCGAGCCCCGCATCCTCAACTCCTGGAAGTCCCTTACGAGCATTACCCTAGCCGGGAACCTGTGGGACTGCGGGCGCAACGTGTGTGCCCTGGCGTCCTGGCTCAGCAGCTTCCAGGGGCGCTACGACGGCAGCTTGCAGTGCGCCAGCCCTGAGTACGCCCAGGGCGAGGACGTCCTGGACGCCGTGTACGCCTTCCACCTGTGCGAGGATGGGGCCGAGCCCACGAGCGGCCACCTCCTCTCTGCCGTCACCAACCGCAGTGATCTGGGGCCCCCCGACAGCTCGGCCACCACGCTCGCGGACGGCGGGGAGGGGCAGCACGACGGCACGCCCGAGCCCACCACAGTGGCTCTCCCAGGCAGCGAGCACGCGGAGAATGCCGTGCAGATCCACAAAGTGGTCACGGGCACCATGGCCCTCATCTTCTCCTTCCTCATCGTGGTCCTGGTGCTCTACGTGTCCTGGAAGTGTTTCCCAGCCAGTCTCAGGCAGCTCAGACAGTGCTTTGTCACGCAGCGCAGGAAGCAGAAGCAGAAACAGACCATGCATCAGATGGCTGCCATGTCTGCCCAGGAATACTATGTTGATTACAAACCGAACCACATTGAGGGCGCCCTGGTGATCATCAATGAGTATGGCTCATGCACCTGCCACCAGCAGCCCGCGAGGGAATGCGAGGTGTGATTGTCTCAGTGGCTCTCAACCCATGCGCTACCAAATACTCCTGGGCAGCCGGGCGGGCCGGCGGGCACCAGGCTGGGGTCCCCTTGTCTGTGCTCTGATATGATCCTTGACTGAAACTGTACGGGGATCTCTCCCAGAGACTTGACATTTTAGCTTTATTGTGTCTTAAAAACAAAAACGAAATAAAACACAACAAACAAAACCCCACCCCACAACCTTCAGGACAGTCTATCTTAAATTTCATATGAGAAATCCTTCCTCCCTTTGAAGATCTGCCCATATTCAGGAATCTGAGAGTGTAAAAAAAAAAGGTACCAATCATTGATTTTTTTTTGTAAACTAAAATGTTTAAAATAAAATAGCATTTACAGTTTTTATAGAGTGGTGTAACCTAAATGAACTGTTACCTGTGTTATTAGAGAAGCAACAGTTACAATTCTCTGGGGTGGAGGTGGGATGCTTAGGGGTTGGGGTGCTGGGTCAGAGGCAAGATTGGAAAATCAAAGAACAAGGTGGTCAGATGTGGTCTGAAATATTAAGAAGGGCAAACAAAGCTTATCAGTGGAATGAGTCAGGTTAATGTGCCCCACAGGAGTGAGGCTGAAAAAGTCAGCAGGGCTGTGTTACCTGGGGAATGGGAGCACAATGGAGCAGGGCAAGGTGGGTTGGAGTTTGGACAACATTGCTTAGCCTTTGAGGCACAGAGAGATCACTGCAAATGGTTTTGAAAAGCCAGTACCAGGCAGTTTCTCTTATAAGAAATATTTTTGTGCTTGGTAGAACCACCTTTCAAATGAACTCAAAATTTCACCCCCAAACGCTTCCTCATAATTCTCCTCTGTCTCTGATTCACCAGAATTAGTAGCATTTGTACGCTGTTTGCTACCTTCTGAGGTTAAAGCCCCTCAGCTCAGTTCCCTTGGGTTTCACTCAGCAGGAGACAGAATCCCAATGTGCAAAGCTGAAAGCTGTGCTTGTGGAGCACATTGCTAAAACTGCAGCAAGCCCAGGCTCTGAGCAGTGATCACATATGTACTCCAAGGTACTGAGGGCAGAGAGGAAGTCTTGATTTAGGATGAATGCCTACAGGATAATGAACGGTAGCAAGAGAATCTAGGGACAGGCTTGATGCAGCAGAGACTGGGAGAGGGGTGGGAGAGAAACCAGCATCTGATTCTGTGTTTGCACATTACTAAGATGGGAATAATTTGTTAACCCAGGACAGGAAAGCTGCCTCCTCTCAGATGGCCTTTTTATGTCTCACTTGCTTTCTTTATGCTTTTTATTTCTTGTGTGTGTTGGGATGATTGTCGCTCCTTCTCCCCCTCACATGTTTCTTGGTCCATCGCTGAGATTTCAGTTTTAGGTTTGTTTGTTTGTTTGTTTGTTTTCCTAAATTGAACTAAAGAGTGAGGAGCTGGCGGTACAGTACGTGGTGGGTTCGGGGAAAGGCAAGAGGAGAGTTATATGCTTTGTTGGAGGGGTCTTTCTCCAAATAACAATTTAATTAGATGTGTGATTGAAATAAACTGTCATAGATGGCAGATGGTGAAAACTGAAAGATGGTGCCATGTACAGAATGCTTTTCTCAGCCTCCTAAAAGATACTACAGCCTAGCATCTCTCCTTTTACTTTTTTTCCTTTTCCTGAGATAAGCTCAAATAGCAAGAAGTGGGCTGGGGAACAAACTCTCCACCATCCCACAACATGCAACTGCCTCCAGTCACCAATCTGAAAGGCAATCAGGAACTTTTTGAAATGGACATTATCAGTAGAAGAGTTACTTATGTTAAGGATTGCTGGTAGATTTCTCTTCTACCTGTGGAGAAACCAATATGCCTAAAATGATGGTTTCTAAGAGGTTTCTTCAAGAGAAATATTTTGCAATTTTCTTTAAGGCCATATCTTCCCGTTCCCTTTTCTCCAGCTCATTTGTCCTACAGCAAACTTTGTCTTGCTGTATTTGTAATTAAATTCTCCATACATATAACACTCATTTAGACTATTAATGTTCTAGAACAGAAGTGCTTGGTCTGAAAAATTTGAGGTGGGGCTTGTGGATTTAGCCAAAACATGATCATATGAAGTTGCCATTCTGAATACATTACCACTTGGAGGGCCAGAGGAGAAGGACAGGAAGGATACGCCTCACAGCTATAATTAAACCCCTCAAAAGAGAACTCCTGTGGAAAAAAAGCATACCTTTTATGGGGTGAGGGGTTCCTAAATTATATCCATTGAAGAAAGGTTTCATTCCTTTAGCCTCCTCCAAGGCACTCAGTGCCAAAAGCTTCGTGCATTAAAGGCTGTGTTGATATTCTTACAGGGAAAGCTTCTAGCAGCAAAGCCTTTCTGGCAAATATCAGAAGTACAGGTTCCCCCCATCATCTAGAAATGAGAATGCTGGAAAAAGATAGTTTGTTTCCTGTCTCCCAGACTTTCTTTTTTATTCTTTTTCTTGCTCAGTGTGTTCATGAGAAAGAATAATCACACTTTTTTTCTGCTGTTCCCCCTAGCCCATGACCAAACATCATGTATTCGGAAAATTTTAAGTCCATGTAAATCTTAAGAAAGATCGTAGGATAGAAGAATCTGCAAGCTGGAGCTTTAGGAGGAAGTGAGGGCTATTGAAAGCTGGATTCTTGCTTTCTGTGTGCCTCTCTATGTTTCTGCAATGTGTATCCTATACAAACAGGAATTTAGCTCATATTATTTCATGATCTTGAGTCTCTTGGTTTGAAGAAGGGTAAGGAGGGGAGGGAAAAACCAAGAATAAGGGAGAGTGGTAGTTTTATCTAAGGTTTTGTGACACTTGAAATCTTTTTTTCCCCTCAAATTAATTAATCTTCCAGTCTGGAGAAATTTGCTCTGACCCTCTAAGCATTTAAAAGGAGGCTAATTTTTAAAGGTGTAAGCACCTTTTTTGAGTGTCTCCCACAGAGGGTGCTAATTTAATTTCATTATCCAATGCTACCTAAAAACTTAAGGCCACAATGCAGGGCTTCTGGGCAGTATGATGGATTAACCCTCCGTTTGCAGCATCTTAGCAGCTGATTAAAGTTCAGCAATGGTATTGAGGTTTTTCGAATATTTATATAGAAAAAAAAAGATTTCTAAGTGACAAATGACACTTTCTTACTAGTCTTACCCCCAAATGTTTCTTTAGGCTGTGCCCCAGGGGAGCAGGTCAAATGAAACCCATCTTTTAGCTGTCCTCAGAGGAAAGGCAGATCCTGGTACCAAGACTTTAGCCACAACAGCGGTGACCCCCAGCTCTAAAGGGACCCTATGTCTCCAACACTGTACAGCTGCCCTCACAAAGAAAAAGTTATTCCAGTAATATGATATTGTTTTTTAATGTTTATACATTGCCTTGTATATTCTCCCAAGAGCTTCAAAGTATAAGAAGAGCACCTTACCTTTTCTCCTGACTTCCAGAAAGGTAGATATTTGGTATGACTTAGCATCAGTAACACACTCCTGAGGACGTATAAGTAATTAGAGGGGAAAGCACCACTTGCTATTCCTCCCAAATTTCTCAAGCAATGCACCCAGATCAAGGCCAGGCATAGAGGATACTCGTGTCTGTAATTTGTATTAAAGAACTTGTCAGCAAGTCCTATGGGAGTGAGTACCAATGGATTCTCTGTTCTGCTAAAATGAAAGTCATCAGATACTTATTCACAGAGAACATTGTTGAGGAATCTGAATGTATATTTGCTTTGGAAAAGGAGTATCTGAGTATATCAAAGAGTGAAAATAAACATCCACTAAATGGGTTGTTGTGTTAGTTGAATTGAGTTTGCCCTTGATGGAATGTCAAATGACATAGATTTAGCTAGAACATGACTGGTAAACAGATTCCTGAAATATAGATCGAGGAAGATTTAAGGACCCACACACAAATATTTCCACATATATAAATATACATATACCCAGATGTACATGTATATTCATGTATATGAGTGCAAATATGGGTGCACTTTTATGTATACAGCCATATATAAATACACAAGCGTGCACATATATGCACATAGATATAGACAGCCACATTACATAACAACTTGTTAGCTCTAATTACTTCCATCCTTCTTCTGTTGAAAAACTTTTACTCAATTCAATAAAACCACCACAATAATGGACTAATATGGGAGGTGGTGTTTTCAGGCATTAATTACCAATTGGAACAGAGTTTACATGTTGGGGTTCCCCTGGATGTCTATCGTCATGCAGACTGTACACCCACTGTCTAATGGTTACAGCCAGCAAATGGTAATGCATTCTTTTCAGACTATTTCTCACCTCAGGAATAAGAAACATATTTCTCCACTTAAAAAAAAAATGCTCACCCTTATGTTTTCCACCTGGATCCAAGAGGCAAAATTCTGCCTGGGACACATTTGCTAGCGTTCAATTATATACCATTCTGAAGGCCTTTGATTTTTGCTGAAAGTGAAGGGCCTGGCTATCACATCCTCAAGGTTTACACAGAAATGTAAATGAGATGGAGAAATAAAATCAACTGAGAATTTACTTGGAATAGGTGTCTTGGATCAGATCCTAACACACGAATGAGGTATTAGCAATCTGCACTTTATATATGAGGAGTCTGGGGCTCAGAGACACTACCTACAGGGTGCAAAGTCAGCTAGTGACTGGGAGCTGGTATTCAGAGTGTTGGGCTTATTGCTACTCCTTGCTTCTTTTTGCTTTGACTGGTTACCCCCATTCAACCCAAGCTGGGCATATGTTCCGCATGCTTCTGTCAGATGCTTTAGGTGTCATTCTTGAATACGGGAATTTGGACCATGACTTCATTTGCTTTGATTCCTGGTAATGAGGTAAAGCACAACTCTGCTCCGAGCAGACTTCTCAGAGGTATTGAGGAGAAGAAAGGGCCAGTAATCATCCACTCCAACCTCTTACCAGATAATTTTGAATTCAGAGAGAGTAATGTACAGACATCCATATGTTACTGTCAGAGATTTAATCACATTTCTTGCTTACTGATGACATGGGCCGTGTCTATGCAAGTGGTTACCAAGCAGTGGAAAACCTGCCACCCAGTGGACAATTTTTATTAATGTCTGGAGACATTTTTAATTTTTAGGCATGCATGATAGGGAAGCTAATGGTATCTGATGGGGAGAGGCCATGATACTGCTAAGCATGCTATGGTGCACAGAATTCTGTCAATATCAAGGCATTATTTGACCCCTCGCATGAGAGTATTGAGACTAGGAATCTTTGCTTCATGGTAGAAAGTAGGGTACACAGTACCCTAAGTTTACAGAGCAGTTTCTCTGAATTA